TGAATTAATTTATTTAAGCTCCAAAAACCTATCGAAACTTTAAAACAAACTTCATTACTAAAAAACACATCAATTATTATAAAAACAACCAAATAAAAACAATAAATACATATGTAAAACAAGAGACTTAATAACACTTTTGATGCACAATCATCTTCTTTCATCGATCAAATTTAGTTGCTCAAATCTTAACCTAGCCCATTCTGATTCATCCAGTTGTTCATCCTTTAGGATCCGCATTAATTGAATTTCTACTTTTAGGGGCATAACCACCTCCATTCCATATACTAAAGAATATAGGTTGCATTTGTAGAAGTTCTGACTATGGTGCGGTACACATGAAGTGCGTATGGGAGCATCTCATGCCAATCTTTGTAGGTGACCACCATTTTTTGGATGATTTTCTTGATATTCTTATTAGCTGCTTCAACTGCCCATTCATCTTCAATCTATAACGGGAAGGATTGAGATGTTTAATCTTCCACTTGGTATGTAGTTTGTCAATCAGTTTCCCATTAAAATTCTGAGCGTTATCAGTTACCAGTCTTGCTAGCAAACTATAATGACAGACCAAATCCTTTTTAATGAATCTCTTGACTATTTTCTGTGTTACGTAGGCATAAAAATTATCTTCTACCCATTTAGTGAAGTAATCAATGGCCGCTAGAATGAATCTATATCAATTGCTTGCTTTAGGGTTGATTGGCCATATGACATCCAAACCCCATATATCAAAAGGCTAAGGTGAGATCAGATTGAACAGAGGTGCTAGAGGCGCATTTATCCTATCTCTATATATCTAACACTTATGGCATTTTCTCATATAGTCTATACAATCTCTCTCTATAGTCAACCAGAAATATCCAGACCTTTGTATTTGCTTTGCCATTGTATGCCCATTAGCATGTGTAGCACAAATCCCCTCATGGACTTTTTTTAATGTTTGTTCAATCTCCTTTTCATTCAGACACCTGAGCAGGGTCCCATAAAATGACCTTCTATATAAAATTTCTCCATCTAAGTAAAAATTCATGATCATTCTCCTCAAAGTCTTTTCATCTGTCTTAAAAATCCCTTGATGGTATTCTCGATGTTGGAGAAACTTCTTGATGTCATTATATCAAGGCTTCCCATCTGGAGATTCTTTAATTGAGTAACAATGGGCTTGGAAACTTCTAACTTCGATATCTATTAGCTGGATCTTGCTTCTAGTATCGATTTGTGTCATTAAAGCTAAGGTTACCAAGGCATCAGCAAACTGATTCTTATCTCTGCTTGTGTGGGTGAATTTGATCTCTTCAAATTCATTAGCTAATCTCAAGAGATAATTTTGGTACAACTTCAATTTCTCATCCTTGGTTTGCCATTCACCTTTGACTTCGCAGATGATTAGTAAGGAATCCTCAAAGACCTCAAGCTTCTTGGCTTTAAGTTCTAAAGCAGCTTCCAGGTCAATAATGCAAGCTTCATACTCAGTCGTATTATTGGTACATTCAAACAATAACTTTATTGAAACAAGATATTGCTTATTTAGGGAAATTACTATCTCTCCTACCCTATTTCCTGATACATTTATTATACTATCAAAGTAAAGGATCCACGCATCACTTTCTCCACCTCCATTCTCAATTACTATCACATCTTCATCTGGAAGATCAAAGTTTAGAGACTCATAGTTTTCCATGGCATGATCTGTAAGATGATTGGCAATTACGCTTTTTTTTACAGATTTTCTTATCATAAAGACGATTTCATATTCTGCCAATAACACTCGCCACCTTGCTATTCTACTTGATAGATAAGGTTTTTCATAGATATACTTGAGCAGATTTAATTTTAAAATCAACCGGTTGTGTAGTACAACATATACTATTTGAGTTTTTTCGCACTCCAAACCAAAGCACAACATAAACTTTCAATTGTTGTGTATCTTGACTCATAATCATTGAATTTTTTACTCAAGTAGTAAATGGCTTGCTCTTTCCTTCCTAACTCATCATGTTGTCCCAACACACAACCTATAATTGTTTCTGTTACTGTTAAATACAAGATCAAAGGCCTTCCTAGTGTTGGAGGTACTAGTATCAATGAATTTTGCAAGTACCTTTTTATTTTATCAAAGGCTTTTTGACAATCATGGTCCCATACTCCAAGATTTTTCTTCCCAAGTAAATGAAAAATTGGCTCACAGGTTATTGTTAGCTAAGATATAAACCGAGCAATATAATTTAAGCACCCAAGAAAACTTCTTAGTTCCTTTTCTATCTTAGGTGCAGGCATCTCCTGAATAGCTTTCACTTTATCAAGATCAACTTCTATTCCTTGATCACTCACTATAAAGCCCAATAATTTTTCTATTTTTACCCCGAATAAGTGACACGACGAAAAGATTGATGTCTTCTCCCAAGTGCAGGAGTGTCGAAGTAATAAATAACCCGGCAAGACCGGGGTCAAACCATAGGGAGGTTAATTGTACAAATTATAAAAAAAAATTATAAAACAACAATAACAACAACAACAATAATAATAATAACAA